TGACTTCAAAGCTCTCTGAGTAGCAATCTATAAATCTGTTAATCTATAACTTAGTGTGAGGTTGACTAGAACAGCACTCTACCAGAGGGAACGTAGCTTATTAGCACATGCCTTGGAGAAATGCCCAGCTAGTTGAGAAACTAACTGGGCTTCAGTGTATGAAGAAATGTGTTTTCCTTTAACTCTGAAATGCCAGATAATGAGTCTTTTGGCTCAAAAATTTCCACACTGGCATTTAGGGGATACTATTTGCTTCTTGCAAGGTTTCCTTTTCCATTTTTCTTCTTTTTTTTCACTCCTAAAATTTCCACCAGGCTGCATGCCTGAAAGTCTTACTGTTTTAATAAAAATACCCCCCACCAAATATCAACATATTGTGAGAGGCACGTATTCTTCGTCAAATTTGCGTTAATTTATAATTAAATTAATCAAATATTTCACATCTTTTTCTATTCACAAACAAGACTGTCATTTTTCTCTCTAAGGAGACTAAAATTTATCAAGCCTAAAAATCATCACTTCTCATGACTGAGAAAGTAAAAATTTAATCCAGGTGTGAAGAAATTAGCAATTTTTCTTTTCCCCCCTTCTTACTTATAAATATGGCAGTAGCATTGGTAATTAGATGGCTGAAAATTGTTACCCTGTATATTGGGTAGATTAAACTTGTCAGCAACATCCATTGCAGAATACTGGGCATCCCAAAACTCTTAGCAGTTTTAAACTTGAAAAGCATAAAGTTTTAGAAATTAAGATTTTTGGAACGCCCTGTACTTTCTGCTGTTACTGCCCACTGGTAATATTTAAATATTCAGACTTGACAACAGGGGAATCCCACTTACCTATTTTCCCCCTTGATTGGCCAGGGTTCAGCACTGGGAGTTGACTCAAATGATTTGGCCAGGCTTATCGTAATAAGCATCTTCCCCAAGTATAGAGCGAACTTCATCAACTCATGGGCAAAGGGAGATATTAGAAGGACCAAACAGGTGTTAACATGTCCTATCTCAGCTAAGAGGACCACGTAGTGGGGTTGGCCTGTGTGAAGCCTGCCCTTGACTGGCCCAAAATTGATCGGGTACAGGGACAGACCAATGAGTCTCAATGAGGCTATACAGAAATTCCACAAGAAGACTGTCTCCAAGACCATAAGCTTTTACAGGATAGTGTCCACCTTACAAAGACACAAATGCTTAGAGACTAGAGTGGTATGATTGCTCCTTAGATACTGGCCTCATTGCTCCTTAGGGACTAGAGTGGTGTGATTACTAAGGTCTCAAGCTCAGAGCAAGTTGGTAGCATTAACTAACCGATCCAACCTGGAATGCCTTCTCTCTGATGAAAAGCCAAGCTTTTCAAATGCTAGATGAGAGGTCCCTGCGTCTTCAACAATGGGACATCATCCTCATTGCACTGATCCAGCTTTTTGAGCTAGAAATGCTTCTGGGATTCACATCTTACTTTCTATATCAAAAATCTATATGAGTTAATAAGCAGAGTTATCATCTATCACCAAGGAACTTTTATATGCCTTGGGCACTTCAATGGCTGTGTTAAGCCACAACCACCCACCCTATACAAAAAAAAAAATTTAATTTCACATTTGTTTTGATCCTTCAAGGAATTATGAGTAGTGAATAGAATCTCTCATTGATTATCAAAGCAGTCCAGTAAAGTAGGTTAAAGAGGAGAGAAAATGTACCCACTCTACAAATGAGAAAACCCAGATAAAGAGATACTTTAATGTTGTTGTGTTGTTTCAGTTGTGTCCAACTCTCCACCACCCCATTTGGGGGTTTTCTTGGCAAAGATACTGGAGTGGTTCACTATTTCCTTACATCTATAATACAATTGGGAATCTCAGTATATGGACTTTTCCCTGTAAAGCACTAGCACAAGTTACTTATAGGGGTTGTGAGTAGGGGCAAGGTAGTGGTGCTTCCAAAGCCATATCATTTCACACCCTAACTCATTCTCCCGTTTTCCGTAGTCTACAGAGAGCAGTGGGCTGTCATGTAATTACTTACTCATGTAAGAGGAGTGTATATCACTCACGGATCATCAGATTGTGCTTTGACTACATTCAATTAACTTAACCCCCCATTATTGGACTTCAGATTCTATGCAGGTATAGACTAAGTATGACCTAGGGTATATTCAAAATTACTTTTTTAAAAATTAGGAGAACTTGTCATCTCTGTTCTTCCTTGAAGCCTTATATTTTGGGATGTCCCTTTCTCATTGATAAGTGACTTTATTTATAGAAGCCAGGCACTTTGCTTTTTAATGACCATGTAAATTACTAATATACCATAAAGGTCAGCAAGTTAATAAGCATTTATTAATGCTTATTGTAGATTAATGATTATAAGCATTAATGCTTATTGATTGATTACTAAGCACCTACTCTGTGCCTGGCATTGTGCTAAACCCTAAATAGTAGCAAAGCAAAACAAAACAAAGTGATAGTGTGTTTGTGTAATAAACTGCAACGAAACTGGTGCACAGTATCAAACTCCCCACCCTCCCACAGTCACCCCCGGCAAATAGATGAGGAAAGGATAAAGGGAAGGAATTTTAGGGTTGGGAACTCACTGATTGCTTTGGCAAACACTCTGAGGAAATGGAATATTTGTGGGAGTGGTGCTTTATGGTTAGCACTGCTTCCCCCCATGATTTTATCATAGCTGGGATTCACAGCAACTGCACTAGCCAGTGTCCCATTAAGGCTTGTTCAGATCCCCTCAGTCCTGACTCCACTCTTTTCCTGTCTTTTCCTGTCTGCTCTATGTCACAGCCCCCTGCATTCCTCCTCCCCCTATCCTGAGCTCTTGGGGATCCACTAAGAAGGTGGGAGGGAGGCTATACATTTTTTTATAACAATTTTGAAATGTTCATTCCAAAAATCTCACCCCACCCTCTAGAACTCAGACCTCAGGGGGAGTTAAGTAAACCCCGCTATAGATTAATAGGCTTATGGGCATGGACATGATGGCACTGACGGACATCAGCAACACCCAGGACATGAAACAACTGGAAAAATCACAGACTATTGGTACTGGATCAGATCTTAAGAGTCAACCAGCTTCACATTTCCATCAAATATAAGAATCCCCTCTATAGCTTTGATTTTTGCAGGCACATGGAAGCCCCAGCCTCCCTTGTCGCAGACCGTTCCGTTGTCTCCAGCTGTAATTGACAGAACTTTCTTCCACTGAACCAAAATATCATTCCCAATCACTTCCATCCATTGGTCTTAGTTGTGTCCCTTGAAGCCACACAAAATATCTTGCCCTTTTCCACATGATAACCCTTGAAACATTAGAAAACATCACGTCCTCACTCATCAGTGTTATGGTCCACCATTCCACACCACCATTGAATCGACTGATTTCTTTGCTGATCTATAGAGGTGGCTCTATTATTCATCTTGTATCTTGTTCCTCCAGGGTCTCTGTAGGTCTTGGATCATATGTTTAGTGGGGGCAGAGTCCTCAGTCCAACTCCTGAAAAAGTAATGGGGCAAGAGATTTGAAGGTAAAGGAGGGAAGAAGGGTTTTCTCAGTGAATATATCTGAATCCTTAGGGTGGATCCAGAGCTAATGTAATCTCCCAGGAATGCTTCAAGCTATACAGGATTTCCTGGGGCCAGTCATTTAACATCAACTAACAAACCTACAGCAGTCAGAGGGCGATAAACAACTCTGTAGGTAGTTCCCCAGACAAAAACTCTAAATTCATCCAAGGCTCAGAAAGGGCCTCAGAACTTGAGACAAAAACTGATATTCTATAATTCAATTCAGTACAGTGGTAAGTACCTCTAACTGCCAGGAATTCTGTGCTAGGCACTGGGGATACCAACATAACCTTTTCCAGGAGACTTTGAGATGGGACCTACATAGTCCATACAAGACTCAAACATCAGAATCCCAGGCCATTTGTTATATCATGGAGTTGTATTCAGTATGACTGGATTTTTTGTTGTTGTTGTTGTGTTGACATGAAAGTAATTATGTTTATTAATTCATGATACTTTTTTTCAATCCCATCTACCAGTTATGCACAAGGTTTTGTTGAAATTCAGCTAAGAACATTTCTCTTTTCATTGAAATAAATAAATTATTCTTGCAAACTAATTGGAGTGCCTGCCTTATATATATTTTTATATATGTACATATATATATTAAATTAATTTATTTATTTTTAGTTTTCAACAATCACTTCTAAAAGCTTTTGAGTTTTAAATTTTCTCCACCTCCCTCCCCAAGACAATGTGAAATCTGATATAAGCTCTACATGTATATTCTTATTAAACATATTTTCACATTAGTTGTGTTGTAAAGAAGAATTAGAACCCACAAGAGGAACTACAAGAAACAAGAAACAAAATAAAACAGAAGGGGGAAAAAAAGAACATAGTTCTTTCTCTGGATGTGGATAGCATTTTTCATCATGAGTCTTTTGGAGATGTCTTAGATCCTTCCACTGCTGAGAAGAGCTGTCTATCAAAGTTAGTCATTGCACAATGTGGCTGTTACTGTGTACAATGTCCTCTTGTCTCTGTTTGCTTCACTCAGCATCAATGAATGGATTTTTTTTTTAACCTTTTGTGAGAGTCTAGTACAATTTGGAAGCTAATTGTATTTTCTTGATTCTTTTTGGACCTAGACTATTAGTCATAGCATGTAGTGAATTAGGATAGCTCACCCAAGATAATTATATTTTTACCTGTGTAGCAAGTAAAAAATAATTCTGAGAGACAGAGTTTTGAGGTAAATCTTAATCAGTTTTTAATTAACCAGGGCTAGCAAACAGTTAACAAGAAAGGCTCATTGTTAACAAAAATTGGCTCAGGAATTGTGGCCCTTCTTGAGGCTTATATGCCTTTGGACCAGTGGTGTTCCAGCAGAAGGCAATGAACTCTAATTGGTTAACAATTAATGAAAGGTAGACTTTAGAAAGAGAAGTGGACTGAGAGAGTGACATGTGTCACTCTTGGAAAAAAAAAGACTATCTCTACACCTAGACCACCCCCAGTCTTGGGCAAAAGATCTACCTCTACCCAAACTTCCTCGAGTGGAACACTGAAATGCAATGCAAAAAATGGGCAGGAATTCATCTTAGACTAGATTCCTTATAAGGTTGGGTGGGGTCTGACCATGATTAAGGAGAAAGTTAGTTTAACCTTCAGACACTAAGCTTTCGAAATGAGGACTTTAGAAAAAGGAGGAACTCTGAATCTCCCTAAGTCATTGGTTATTAGTAATCATTTCTGTCACCTATGGATGAGGGCTTGGGTTGACTCCCACCAACCCCAAGTACCATATTCCTTTTAAGACAACCAACAAATCTTGGGGGATCATCTGGGACAGTTTTTTTGTTTGTTTCTAGAACCCTAGGATAGGATGAGTCAGGTCAGCTTGTCTAAGATAGTTTGTTCTTATCTTTCTTTTCTTTTTTTTTTTTTAGCAGATCTGGACATTCTTCCCTGGGATGGTTGAGCCAAGAAAACTTAGGAACAACGCCTAAGGAGACTTCCACACATAAGTACAGTTTGGGGACTCAGTCATTGAGGGCTTTGACTATTGTAGGGGAAGTTTGATTCCGTTGAAAGAATTGGGGATGTTTTGCTTTGGGTGGATTGGAGGTGGGAGATATCTTCAAATACTTGATTTAGAGCTGGAAAGGAACTTTGAGGATACCTAGTCCAACCTTTTCATTTTTATTTATTCTATTTAATGCCAGAAGATGGAACTAGGATATATGGGTAGAGGTTTTAGGCTGCGTCAGTATAGAGATTCCTAACAATAAGTGCAATGCAAAAAATGAAATGGTTCCCTCAAGATGTTGAGTTCTCAGTCACTGAAGGTGTTCAAGCTGAGGCTGAATGTCCATTTTTTTGGTAGGGGTTGGTAGGTGACCACCAAAGAAAATCCCTCTCACCTCTAAGATTTCATGATTGTATGAAAAAAAAATTGTGCCAGAAACACTAACAGCTAGGAAAGGAGAGGAAAGAAGGACTTGATTTCTCTCTCAACGTTCTGAGTCTCTCCTTTCCAGCTCTCTTTCCATACTCCCAATTTTCTCTTCTCATCCACCTTAATAGAAGGAGGAAATGTCTGAATAGCAAAACATTATAACAACAACAAAAATTTGGCTGTATTTTGCAGCTTATTAAGATTCCATTGCATTTATGGCAGCTAGTTTGCTCAGTTAATTGTAGTTGATTTGTTCTGGAGTAATGTATCTGCCTTAACATGTAAATCCTACAAGGGCAGGGAGCTAGCATTGCCTTTGAAAATCCATAGCCCAACAAGTTTCAAATATAGTATTATTGCATTCCATTCAACATACCTTTATTCAATACCTTCCTGATAAGGCCTGGAGGCACAAGAGGGCATTTTGGTTTGTGGTGGCAAGGGAACTGGCCAAAGGACCATAAGGAGTTATAAAAACCAAAGGAGAACTTGAAGGGAAAGAAATGGGGGAAAAAAGAGATGAGACTTTCATATTTCCAGTACCTGCTGATTTCAAGGGTGTGGATACTACATCTTACAGTAAATACGACAATTCACCTGTAGCAGAATAGGTCGAAATTAGAGCTGAAAAATCATTACCTTGTTGCCAATCTTCTGGTGATGAACCTCTTTAAACTAAGAGGTTGGTCCTCAGAAGATAATTATCCACTGACTTTCCATAACTTCATAAGATCACAGGTTTAAAGATGAAAGGGGCCTTAGAAATGATTTAGTACAACTCATTTTACAGATAAGGAAACGACGTCTCCAAAATATTAAATGATTTGTTCGAAGTTACACAGGTTGATTGACCTGAACCAAAATTTGAACCCAAATCCTCTGGTTCTAAATTTGTGGCTTTCTCATCTGTGCCACACTTGTCTTCCATTGGCATAGGCTTTGTACCCCAAGGTTACCTTCATTGCACTATGATGAGACATCAGAGTAGGAGAAGGGAGAAGTAGATGAGGAAAAACTGAAAAAGATCAAACAGAGAAGTGGTTGATGAGGACCAAGAAAACAGGGTTCAAATCCAGTGTGCTGAGAAAAGCACACTGGGATGACTTCAGAGAAAAGGGAACCGAATGTGAATTTTTAAACAGAAAAGGGCACACAAACAGAAAAATTAGAAATGAAACAAACAGGCTGTTTCTAGCATGTGCATGTGTATATTAGGGAAGGACTTCATTATAGGCCTCTTGTTTTTTGTGGTAATGAATATATACATACATGCATGCATGAGTTGAAACTGGCCTCTGGAAAAGCCATCTGTCTGGGAGCTGGGAGACCAGAGTTTTAGACCTAGTTCTGCAACTAACTAGTTGTGTGATCTTAAGACAATCATGGACAAAGTCACCCTTTCTTCATCTTTAAAAGGAGCAGTCATACTAGATGATTTCTAATGTCTTTATCCCCTCTTGCTATGATTCTGTGATATCTGATCTATGGTTTGGGGGGGGGTTTCTTTGCTTTGGAAATTAATGATTTAAGTAGGTCAGTCAGGACTTAGGGGGATGGGGGAGGGGGATTTAGCTTGTTCATGCTTCATCTGTAATCACATAAAATTCATCATCTGGTCTCCATCCACTGCTCAAGGGAATTGGCCTGTTAATATTAAATGGATTTTCCTATACCCACAGATAGCTCTTTTCATTCTGCATTAGATACTTAGAGAGAAGGAAGGCTTCAGAACTTCATCTGAACATCTCCTGCTCATCTTTTTTCTTCCTCTCTTCTTCCTCCCCCCACTCCCTAAGCACATTCACCTTCTTGAGGCTTTTTCTCTTGTCTTAGGATCATAGTTTTAGTATTGGAAGGGCTATTAGAGGACATCTGGTCCAGTGCCTCCATTTTACTGATGAGGAAACTGAAGATCATAGGGATTAAGTGACTTAACCAAGGTCAAAAAGTTAATTAGTGGCAGATCCAGGGTCCCTATCTAGGTTCTTTCTCCAAATTTAACAAGTAGGTGGCACAGTGGATACAGTGCCCTGGAGTCAGAAAACCATGAGTTCAAATCAGTCTCAGACACTTACTAGATGTGTGACCCTAGACAAGTCATTTAACCCTTTGTCTCAATTTCCTCATCTGTAAAATAAGCTGGAGAAGGAAATGGCAAACCAATCCAGCATCTTTACCAAGAAAACCCCAAATGGGGTCACAGAGAGTCAGACCTAACTGAACAACAACAATGTTTGTTTGTTTGTTTGTTTGTTTGCTTGCTTGCTTGCTTGCTTGCTCACTTGCTCGCTAGTGTAGCTACAATCAGAATCAAGGATTTTCATGAACTCATTTTTCTCTCTCACTTTGGCCAGAACAAACAGGTGCCAATGGCTGGCATATGAGCTATGTGAAAGTCTTCAGAGGATGAACTGATCCAACCATTCTGGAGAGCAATTTGGAATTATGCCCAAAGGGTTATAAAACTGTGCATAGCTTTTGACCCAGCAATAGCACTTCTAGGGCTGCATCCCAAAGAGATCATACAAATGGGAAAAGGACCCACATGTACAAAAATATTCATAGCAGCTCTTTTTGTGGTGGCAAAGAATTGGAAATTGAGAGGATGCCATCAATTGGGGAATTGCTGAACAAGTTGTGGTATATGAATGTAATGGAACACTGTAAGTGCTGTAAGAAATGATGAGCAAGTAGACTTCAGAGAAACCTGGAAAGACTTATATGAACCGATGCTGACCGAAGTGAGCAGAACTAGAACATTGTATATAGTAACAGCCACATTGTATAATGACTAACTTTGATAGACTCATCTCTTCTTAGCAATACAAGGATCTAAGACAACTCCAAGAGACTCATGATGGAAAACGCTATCCACATCCAGAAAGCAGCTATGGAGTCTGAATGCAGATCAAAGCATACTGTTTGCTCTTTCTCTCTCTTTTTTTGTTTCTTCTTTCTTGTGGTTTCTCCCATTGGTTCTAATTCTTCTTTACAACAGTGACTAATATGAAAATAGGTTTAATATGAATGTATATGTTGAGCCTATATCAATTTACATGCTGTCTTTGGGGTGGGGGTAGGGAAAACATGGGGAGAAAATTTGGAACTCAAAATCTTGTGGAAGTGAATGTTGAAAACTAAAAATAAACAAATAAATTTATTATTTTGGGGGAAAAAAGAATAAATGGAGAGGTTGGTTCCCTCTCCCCCCCACCTCCAAAGAAAAAAGGAAAAAAAAAATCTTCAGAGGGCTGTGAACCAAGGGAATGGAGTCCTCTTTCCAGCTTAGACCTTGGGTCCTCCAGACCAAAAAGGATATTCACAGACTGACGCAATAATTGTAGTGACTCAGGGAAGCAGCCTGAGAGGGTAAGGCAGAAACCCTTCTGGGCAGAACTCCAGACAGCAACAGGTTCCTTCCCCCAAACTTCACCCATTTTCCCTGAATCACCAAGACAAAAGCCCTACCCTTTTCCTAGGTCTACACGTGGGCACTGATCTTTGTGACCCTTCCCTCCTTCTTGGCTGCCATTTATATTCTCATTTTAACCTGATTTCACCTTTTTTGTTATTGTTCAATCATGTCCAACTCTCTGTGACCCTATTTGGAACAAAGATACTAGAGTGGTTTGCTATTTCCTTCTCCAGCTCTTTTTACAGAAGAGGAAAATGGGGCAGACAGCATTAAGTGACTTGCCCAGGATCACACAGGTAGTAAGTCTCTGAGGTCAGATTTGAACTCACGAAGATAATAACTTCCTGATTTCAAGCACAGTGCTCTATCTACTTCACCACCTAGGTACCTCAATTTCACCTTTAAGCAGCCAATAAATGGGGGAAGAGTGTTGCACTTCCAACAAGAAACTTTGAAGGATGAGCTTATGCTGCTTTGTGGCTTTAAATTTGGTAAAAGTTGTAAATGATCCCATTGTATACTTTGAAGAATCTGACCTACACACACAAGGATTCTAAAATGCAAAGGAATAAAGAGCTGAGGGAGGAGAGGAAAAAGAGGAAAGTCTCCCTTAAGTAATAATTCATGGAGGCAGGCAGGGAGGAAGGATTGAAACTTCATGGGTAATTGGGAACTCCAAGTGTGGAGACTCCCTTTATCAATAGAGACCAGCAGGAGGGCTCTGCAATTTATAGTCTTAGAGTAAGGGTTTTTACTTTGGGGTCTATAGCACCCTAATGGATCCCTGGATGGGAAAAATTAAATCTATTTCTACATAATTAGTTGTAATCCTATGTATTTTACTTTTGACATTTAAAAACATTCTGAGAAAGAGGCTGGACTGTTAGAGAACTCTGTGACACAAAAAAATATTAAAAACCCCTTTCAGAGAGTTGCGCAAGGTATCCAACTCTATGTACTATGCTAAATGCTTCTAGGTGAGATAGCGATTTAAGATTTACAAAGCATTTTACACTAAACAGCTAGTCATCATAGGGGATAGAGCTCTCTGGTTTTGAGTTCAAATCCTGCCTCAGACCCTCACCACCTTAACACCAGTCACTTAACCTTTCTTAGCCTCAATGTCCTCATCTGTAAAATAAGGATAATAATATCTTTAGTCCTGGATCTGTGAACTTTTTTTTAATACATATTTTGGTAAAACACACTTTAATTTGTTCCCTTTGCAACTCTATGTATTTTATTTTACTTTTTAAAAAACATTATTCAGGGTCAGCTAGGCGGTACAGTGGATAGAGCACCAGCCCTGGATTCAGGAGGACCTGAGTTCAAACGCGGCCTCAGACACATAACACTTACTAGCTGTGTGACCCTGGGCAAGTCGCTTAACCCCCATTGCCCAACCAAAAAACAAACAAAAAAAAAACATTATCCAGAGAATGAGTTTATAGGCTCCACCAGACTGCCAAAAAGGTCTGTGACACAAAAAAATGTTGAGATCCTCTCCTCCAGTCTCTACCTCCCAAGGCTGTAAGGACCAAAAGAGATAATAAATGCAATGCCCCTTGCAAGCCTTCCAACCTAGCTAACTTCTAATTATCATTATTGTTGAATACAAGCTTTAAACAATTCTGTGAGTTAGAGACTGTAAATGTTAGTAGCCTTTAACAGATGAGAAATCTGAGGTATGGAGAGTTTAAGTGACTTTGTTCATGGTCACATAGCTAGTTAATATTAGAGATAAGATTTAAGGCCAGATCTTTCCCAACACCAGTCCATGGTCCTTGGGATAAGGTCATTTAAACTGGAATGATTTTGTTTCACTTCCTACGGCATGCAAATGCAGGTCCTTAACTCTCAAAAATGTTTTGAATTGGATTGAATTACATGAGGCCTATCTCTCACAAGCCTCTACACGTGATAACAGGGCAAAGCAGAACATAGTCTGGGGACTAGGGTTTGAATTCCCATGGGAAAATTTGACCACAAGCAGCAAACGTGGAGAGGATGCAGTATTCAAGGTTAGAGGATCTGAGTTTGAATCCTGACTGTGGCCTTTGCTAAGTCTGAGCCTCAGTTTCCATATCTATAAAAGGAGTGGGTTGGTATTAGACTATATGACCTCTAAGGTCCTTTTCAGCTCTAAATCTATGCTGTTATAATGCAAAGCCATAGACTGAACATAAGATCTAGAGCTGGAAGAGGCCTTAGAAATCATCTGGGTCAATCCTCTTATCTTACAGACTGGAAACTGAAGCCGGGAGAGTTTTAGTGGAACTTTTCTCATTATTACCAAGTTTTGCTGTTTGTTTTTTGGGTTTGAGGGGTTTTTTGGGGGGGAGGGGTCATCCATTAGTTACTTCCAACTCTTCGTGACCCCATTTGGGATTTTCTTGGCAAAGATATTGGAGTGGTTTGCCATTTTCCTGTCCAGCTCATTTTACAGATGAGGAAACTGAAGCAAACAGAGTTAAGTGACTTGTTCAGGGTCACGTAGCTAGTGTTTGAGGCTGGATTTGAATTCAGATCTTCCTGACTCCAGGGCCAACACTATCCACTTCATTATCTAGCTGCCCAGGTAGTTACTCAGGTAATAAATGGCAAAATTATCTCTGACTCCAAGTCCTGTGCTCTATTATACCATACTACCACTTACTTAAAACTCTTTGAGCCTCAATTTTCTTTTTTTAAACATATTTTTGTTAATTTGTTTTTAGTTTTCAACAATCATTTCCATATACTTTTGAGTTTTAAGTTTTTCTCCCCCGTAGCCCCCCCAAGACAGTGTGCAATCTGATGTAGGCTCTATATGTAGGCTCTATTAAACATATTTTCACATTAGTCTTGTTGTAAAGAAGAATTAGAACCAAAGGAGGAACCACAAGAAAGAGGAAACAAAACAAAACAGAAGAAAAAAAATAGCAAATAGTATGCTTTGATCTGCATTCAAACTCCATAGTTCTTCCTCTGGATGTAGATAGCATTTTCTACCATGATACTTTTGGAGATTGCTGAGAAGAGCTAGGTCTATCAAAGTTAGTCATCGCACAACATGCCTGTTACTGTGTATAACGTTCTCCTGGTTCTGCTCACTTCACTCAGCATCAGTCCATACAAGTCTTTCCAGATTTTTTCTGAGGTCTGCCTGCTCATAAGCCTCAATTTTCTCATCTGCAAATTGGGAATTATAATACTTGCACTGCCTACCTAATAGGTATGATGTGAGAAAAGTATTTTGTAAACCTTAATACTTATGTACCTTAGTGGATCTATGATACACTTAGTGACATTTTGTCTTCCTGTGTGATTTTTTACCATCTCCAGGATGGTATCTCTAGATTCTCTGTGGCTCCTATACATCTTTACAATCTACAGAAGCCTTAAATCATTATATAAAAATGAATTGTTATCATCATTACCATACTTATATAGGGCAGCTAGGTGGTGCAATGGCTAGAGTATCGGTCCTGAAGTCAGAAAGACTGGGTTCAAATCTGGTCTCAGACACTTACTACCTGTGTGACCCTCAGCAAGTCACTTAACCCTGTTTGCTTCAGTTTCCTCGCCTTTAAAATGAGCTGGAGAGCAAAATGGCAAACCACTATAGTATCTCTGCCTAGAAAACCACAAATGGGGTTATGAGGAGTCAGACATGACTGAAAAAGACCACTGACTGAACTGGGGGGGGGGGAACCTATGGCCTCAAGGCCACATGTGGCCTTCTAGGTCCTTGGGTGCAGCTTTTTGACTGAGTCCAAGTTTTGGCAAACAAATCCTTTTATTAAGGGGATTTGTTCTGTGAAGTTTGATTCTGTCAAAGGGCTGTACTTGAGGACTTAGAGGGCTATATGTGGCCTCAAAGCTGCAGGCTCCCCATCTCTGGACCGAACCATAATTATGGCCTAGAAAGACAAGGGTATCCCTTCCCCATTGCAGGGTTTTCAGAGAATCATGGTATTCAAGCTAGAAGTTCGTGTAATTCAACTTTAGTGAGTAAGGGGGAATTACTTAGCAGAAGTATGGGAACTCGAATTATAAAGTTTAAATCAAATC